CAAAACTCAAACAATTTACTAGTTCTGGGGTTTGTGTGTGTGTGTGTGCACACTGTGTAACAGGAATGTGTTCAGCTGCAAATGACAGAAAAACCAATTAACAAGAATTTAAACAAGATGAGAATTTGTCTCACAAAACAAGAAATCCAGAGCTAGGCAGTCCAAGCTGGTGCGTCAGTTCCATCATTTCAGAAATGACCCGGATTTCTTTATCTTTCCACCACACTGTCCTAAGTGTTTTGACATTTATCCCCATGCTTGCAGCCTCATAGGGACACGACTGGAGCACCATATCCACACACATCCTCATTTCAGGCAGGACAAAGGTAGCACAAACCAGACCAATCATCTGAATGAGCACAGCCCATCACTTGAAGCATTTTTATAACTCTTCTTGGAAACTGTAACTCGTCAGAGACCCTTACAAGGCACATCAAGAAAACATATTTTTTCATTTACTCTGAGCTTACCAGGTGCCTCCTCACCAGTGCACTCCAGACAGTGAGCTGTATGTGCGGATCCAAGGAAAAATTAGGCAGGCCCTTCCTCTCTTCTAGTAAGCCTAAGGGGTAACAAACAACTAATGTGGAATGTAATCGGTGTACACGTGTATGTGCAAAATGCTCTGGTAGCAGAAAGAAAACACACACACAATTGATTCTAATTAAAACATTAGGAAAATGCTTTTTTTTTGCAAAGAATTCAAGTGAATGCTATACTAGGGATTTCAGAGTTTTGCTTTGAAAGACCATTGAAGTATTTTTTAAAAATATATTTTTATTGATTTCAGAGAAGAAGGGAGAGGGAGAGAGAGATAGAAACATCAATGAGAGAGAATCATTGATCGGCCGCTTCCTGCACAGAGATTAAGCCTGCAACCTGGGCATGTGCCCTGACCAGGAATCAAACCATGACCTGATGGTTCATAGGTCGATGCTCAGCCACTGAGACATGCCAGCTGGGCACCACTGAAGTATTTTTAAACAAAGGACTGTTAAGAAGTCATGTATTTTGAAAAGGTCTTTCTGGTAGCCATTGGAGCAGGTAACAGACTGAAGGCAAGACCAGCTGGCAAGCTATGTAAATAACTTGGGTTAGAGATTTGAGGGCCTTGACTAGGTCAATGGCCATGGGAATCCAGAGAAAAAGAATCAATTCAAGTGAGGTCTGGTTCAAAATATAATGCTTGATGATCATCTGTTCTTCAGTCTTGGCTCTATATGTCATTGTGCAATTTTTAAAAAATTCATCTTCTAAGGATAGATTTTCCACACCACGGGGGGTATTCTAAAGAATGAGTTGCACAGATTCAGACAGATCAGTATGTTCTGTTTCTATAAAGACAAATCAAGAAGCATTATGTATGTAAACAGATAGATAGATGATAGATAGATAAATAGATGGATTTTGTAAAGATATGGACCCACGTCTTAGTGATTATCTGATGTTGAGTAGGATCCAGAGTTTATTTTTTTATCTTGCTAATCTGCATTTTCTATCTTTTTCTATAATGACAATGTATTGTTTATGTAAAAAAGGAGCTATTTTTAATAATTTCAAAAAGCTATAGTCATTAAACCTGAGGAGTTGTAACAATGTTAACAATGTCAGCGTGGCTAAGGTAAGTTTATTTCCTCAAGTGTACTACTTTGGGACAATGCTCAAGTTGAAATGTGAAAAAGATTATTTCTTTTAAAAACAAACAAACCAAAAGTTCACTATTTCAGAGCTATTCCTTCAATAATTAAGGTATTGGTTATAAAGCACTCCTAAATGGCCTGTCAGAACTAACTTCACTATTGTTTTCTAGATTAGTATCACTTGTAATCTGGTCTCCTTTTCTTTCATGGAAGTAACCACTTCGCTAACCTTCCCATCCTTCCCTCTCCCAAACTCCCATTCCCCACAGGCATAATTAATGAGCGCAGGCTTTCAATCTAGACTTAGGGATATGAAATGTTCCTCCTGCCTAATTCCCAGTTTATGCTTGGATGCCATCACTACTGCACTTCTCGCTGACACTTGCATAGCTGAAAAGTATCTTCTCTACGCTTTTGTACAGAACTCTGTATGTCCTGCTCTCTCTCCCACCTGGGCTGCCGGAAGCATGTTGCTGGTGGTTGGGAACGTGTCTCTCAAGCCCACTTGTTCCCCTGGAACCCTCACTGCAGCTTCCCAGGGCCCTCTTCCCCCCCTCCAGCCCCCACCCCGGAGTGCAAGCGCATGAAGGACGGATGGGGTAGTGCACTGAGAGCAAGCTATTTAATAAAAGGCAGAAGAAAACATCAACAAATTAAAATTTCCGACTTGCCTTATTCTGCCAATATGTAAGCATTTTTTTCTATTGAATGTGACTGCTTGTACAGACATACACACTTCTATTTAGTCTCACACATGAAAAGAGAAAGCATAAGGCATGCAATTCTTATCCAAACATTTTAATCACAAATTTCTAAATCCAGTTGAAAACAATAGGAAAGGAATATTTTTTTCCCCTAGAATTCTATCAACCTAGCTTGGTAGCACAAAATATATTGAATTGTAGTTAAAATAAAAGCTTCCACTTATAAAATAGCATTTTAGTTATTGCTGTACCAAAAGATTGCATACTGACTTGCTAAAAGTATGAAATAAGTGTAGGTTTCTTTGTATAGGATGAGTATTTCAGAGGCTTAATAAGGAAGGAAAATGCTGGGAAATAATTTAAAAAATATATTTTAAGGAGAATGCTTCAAAGTAATGTATTTATATATATTTCCCCTCCAAGCCTAATTATCAATGAAATACTTTTTGCTGACTATATGGCACTTACTCCATACCTTTTGCTAATTAACATTTATTTTATTTTTTATTTAATATATTTTATTGACTTTTTACAGAGAGAAAGGGAGAGGGATAGAGAGTTAGAAACATCAATCAGCTGCCTCCTACACACCCCCTACTGGGGATGTGCCCGCAACCAAGGTACATGCCCTTGACCGCAGATGCTCTATCCACTGAGCCAAACCGGTTAGGGCGCTAATTAACATTTAAATAGGTGATGACTGCAACTATATTAAAACTAGAAAGCCTTTTTCTAAATGAAAGTTAGAATTTATTATTTTTATAAGGTAATACTGAATACTAATTTTATTGTATTCATTACATTTTTGCCTCAGACCTGCTTGTTACAAATTCTGGGTTTGAAAAACATGCAACTTCATCTTATGATGCACTGTAACTAGTACTGAGTTATGTTAATAAAGGAAATATGTGAAACAATAGATAAACATCACCCCATCCTTCGGTTTGTTTCAGAGGTATTTTTGGTTCCTATATTTGCATCTGGGTATCCTTGATCTGAAAATTCAACCTCCAATCAAATAAGAAAGCCACACTCTAAAAATCTGAAGACCTGCATGTCCAGGAATTCCCTATTTTCAATAGGGGATACAGCGCTTTCTCACTCTCCTTTCCTTCCGATCAGCAGGTGTCTCCGCCCCAGCTCCCCTCTCTCCTCTCCCCCTCCTCACTGAGAAAAGGAAAAGGAGGGGGCGATAAGAAAGGAAATTGTCTTGGTGG